TAGTGAGACTCCATTTTGTTTTGATTTTGAGATAAGTAGTGAAATGTAGTCATGGAACTCACTAGGTAGCCGAGGCTAGCCTGGAAGTCATAGTGACCCTCCTGCCTCAGCCTCCCAGATGCTGGGATTACAGTGCTACCATGCTTGGCTTGAGATTGTTTTAAAATAAAAAATAAAAAGAGCTGGGGATGTAGCTCAGGGCTTTTTAGGTTCAATCCTTATTACCACCATTAAAAAAAATACAGCCTTCTTGTGACTGTGATCTGTATTATAAAAACCTAAAAGGTCATTGAGATGAAGCTAGACTTGGAGAAATGGAGACAGTTCCTCTCCTTTTTCCCTTCTCTTTGTAAGGGTTAAAACTTTCCAACTAGGGCCAGGGATTTAGCTCAGTGGTTCTGCCGCCTGCCTCACAAGCTCAAGGACTCAAGTTCAATCCCTGGTACCAAACAAACAAACAAACAAAAAAACCCCAACTTTCCAACTAATTCCTGATTTACTGGAATAAATCTTGCAATAAAGAGGTCCTTTCTGAATATTCTACTTACTGCGGTGATTTTCAAACTAGGCTCAGCAGGGTTGGTTCCACAGACTCTAGATCAAGGAGTTCTGCCACGAAGATTGAATAACCACCACATTCCAGTTCAAAGAAAAGAAACTGGTAGGATTTTCTCCATTTTAAGGTTTTTCCATATTATTTTCTAAAACTTTTGTTGCCTGCTATTCTACACTCTGTTTGACCTGTCATAGCACAAATTTATGTATTGAATGATTTTAATATATTTTTTCTTTCTTTTCTTTCTTTTTTGAGACAAGAGTCTGACTATGTAGCCCAGGCTGGCTTCAAACTTACAGTGATCCTCCTGCCTCAGCCTTCCCAGTGCTGGGATTATAGGTTTGCACCACCATTCCTGGCTTAATTTATTACTATTTCATCATATTCTAATAAGGGTACTTTTGAAAGGCTCAGGGTAAGTCTGAGAACCACACCTAGAGTCTCCATGTTTTCTATCCAGCTACTTCCCTGCAAACCTTTTTCAAAATATTTATTTATAGTCTGATGCTGGCCTCAATTTTTTTTTTAAGGGGGTGGACAGAAAGGAAAAAAAAAGAATTGATGTGTGTTATGTACATGTACCAATTCCCCACAGTGAATATAATCATTAGGTACTGCAAACATGTACTGATAAAAGTAAAAAGTTTTAAAAGTATATATGCAAAAAAATTCATTTATGGTATTGGGGATTGAACCCAGAGCTCTCCCACTGAGCTACATCTCCAGTCCTACTTTACTTTTTGTTTTGAGACAGGTTCTTGCTAAATCACAAAGTTGCGCAGGCTGGGTTCACACTTGGAATTCTCTTGCCTCAGCCTCCTAAAGGGCTGGGTTTACAGCCATGGAGCCACTGCCTTGCAAACAGCCTTGGTGCATTTCAGAGACAGATACTTAGGCTGAAAAATGTCTGCAGCAGGAAATCCTCCATCAGGAAGGGACTGGCAGAAGGCCCACACTGTAACCTGGTGGTGGTAGGAGGATTCCTTGGCCCTTGCAGTTAGTGGCAGCAGTTCTCACACTGTTCGGGTCATGGAAGCCAGAGGTGGAAGGCACACTGCTACTACCCATCAATGTTCTCCCCCAGCCCAGTGGGGATAGAGCCCGTTCACCAGGAGAAGAAAGTCTGTTTCTGAGGAAACACTGGGGATGGACCAGCACAATCCATGTCTGAGATGGATACAGTCATAATCACAGTGAGGCTGAATAAAAGGCGCACTGGATTGGGGTTAGTGGCAATGAGTTCTGGTCATACTTCCATTCCCAACCAGTGATATGACTGGTAAGTCATCTCACATTGCAACGGCTCGGCTTCCAAACACAGACTGACTGCAAGGGATCCTAATCTGAATGTATCGCTCACTTTCCCATCTAGGAGAATTAACGAAACTTCCTGTGCCTTATTTGTCCCACCTTTAAGGCAGGGATGATAATAATAGCATCAAAAATCCTAAGACTAAGTGAGTTCTTTAACATCCAGGGCTTAGAAGAATGTTCAGCACACAGTAAATGCCACATAGATGGTTGCTGTTATAATTAGTAAAAGTATAGCACCTGAGTTATATCGTCTTTAACATCCCTTCTAGGTTGAATATGATACAAATTTAAAAATTCAATAACTGAGCATTTACTACCTACTTAGCACTAGCTTGTGTTTCCCGTCTATAAAATAAGGGACTAAAGGGCCGGGGATTTAGCTCAGTGGTTCCAGCGCCTGCCTCGCACATGCAAGGTCCTGAGTTTGATCCCCGGTACCAAAAATAAAAAATTAAAAAAAAAAAAAAGGGACTAAAATCATTTTGAAGGTCCCAACCTGTTCTACAGTGCTAGAAACAGACTTGATGGCGGGGATCCAGGAAAGATGCTGATGGAGGCCCTGCCCTCCAGGAACTGCAGCTAGAGAACAGGAGGCCAGACCAACACTCGGGCTGTCCTCTAGGGTGAAAGCAAGCATGACTGCAGTGTGCCCAGCATATTTCTCCAGCTTCTTTGGTTGGTTTCTAGAATTTTTTACTTCAAAATAAAATGAAAAACAAAGACTTCCATTTCAAAATACGCACTTTTTATTTTATAACGCACACATCTCTGTATGTCAGTTGTCTCATGCATTCCCCCATATGGCCTATAAACACATTACTCTAAAAGGTAAGTGGCAAAAAGAAAAAAAAAAGGGAAGTGGCAGAGACCTGATTCAGGCTGGAGAGGAAATTCTGCCAGTGTTGAGAACACTGGCTATCTGAATGGAAAAGTCAGGCAAAGAGGTCAAATTACAGGCAAGGCCTGCACAGACTTCCAATCAATGGCAGGATCCACTATCACTCCCTCATTTTCACTTCCCATTTTCTTTTTGGGGTACTAGGGATGGAGCTCAGGGACCGTACTAGGCCACAAGCACTCTATCACTGAGCTGCATCCTCACCCCATTTACAAACATAATCAACATTTCACTCTTTTCCCGAAAACCCTGTGAAAAAGAGAAGGCCCACGGTTTAGTCTCATTTTTAAGATGAGGCGCCAAGGTATATTGTTTACAGCCATAGACGGCTGATAAGTAATAAAAACCTGTTTTCTTGACTCTTTTTTCTCTTGCCTCAAATTCTCTCCCAGGCTTGGGGATCTGGAGTGGACAAGAGTTGTGTTGCCAGGTTTTCAGGGTGCTGAGCTTTGAAGGAGGAGAATGTAGGGAGGGTTGGGTCTGGGGAGGAAGCAGCTTCAGATTATCTAAATTGTAGGACCTTGAGCCGGGAAGGGGCTGTTTAGGGCGAGGCTGGATTAAAGGAGGAGCTTGCACATGATTGAGGGAATAGGGAGAGGGCTTCAAAGGAAAGCCAGGCAGGCTGTCTTCTCCCCAGCTGGGAGGAAAGGTACCCTCTGCACAGTCAGACTCACCTACATCCTGGGAAGTCACCCTCCCCTCCGTTCTGGTTCCACCATCATTTTATCCCTCAAAGGGTTAAGGCAGCTTTCACATGGTTTTTCCCATCTCCCAGGTAACTTGGGTAGCTGCTCTGTGCAGGGAAATAAAAAGTCCCAAGCAATTTCTTAGTTCTCATACCTAGCAATACACCCTTTGCCCACAGCAGAGCACTACCCTTTGGGTAAAAGGTGCAGGGGGAGGGACTCTGTGAATTGGCAGGTGCTGGGAGGGGGGCCCCAGAGAGCTGCTGGGGCCGGAGGGTGGTACGGAGAAGGCCCCCTCCCTCATTCCCTTTCTGGGTTCTGGGCGTAGGAGGTTGCATTCGGGACCACTGCCCCTAACGGCTGGGGGATGAGGAAAGAAGTGGTGCACAGGCAAGCAGGCCGCACACACCTGGCGCCTTGTGGAATGAAATCTTAATTAATTATTAAACTGAGTTCCCGCGGGAGGGAGCGGGCAGTGGCCGGGCGGGCGGCCGGGCGGGTGGGGGTGGGGCAAGGAGGAAGGGAGGGGTGAGGAGTGGGCGCCCGATGCCAGCGCGGCCCCGACCCACTCGGGAATACAGCCGCCCCTCGGTGGGCGGGGCGGGATACCGGCAGTGAGGGGGTGTGTCTGCCGCCCGCTGGGGACCCCTGGAGTGAGGGTGAGGTGGGAGGGAAGGTAGGAGGATGCAGCCTTCGGGTGGAGGGACTGGGAAGCGGTACGGCCCCTTTCCCTCCGCGGTCTTGAACCTAGAACAGTGGCCGCTTGTTTCCTCGAGGCTGGGGAGGAAGCGGCGGAGGAGAGGAGGGGGCGCGCGGAGGGAGGGGTCCCGCTCTGTGGTCTCCCCCACCTCGACCCGCTCCTCGGAAGGAGAGTGGGCAACTCTGCCCCCGCCTCTGGGGAGGGGGAAGGGAAGGGGGAGGGGGGTGCCCAGACAAAAGGAGCTTGTGCCTTTAAGGCGGGGAGTCCGGGAGCCGCCGGGGAGGGGACTTCTGGATCCGGGGTAGAGGGCGTCTGCGCTGGACAGCAAGGAGGGGGCGCGAGCCGCTCGGACGGCTGCACAGCGGGCGGCACGGCCGGGACGCGCGGGCCCGGAGAAGGATTGTGGGACTGCGGGCTGGCAGGCCGGAGCCCGCGGGGGCGGCGGGGCGCGGGCCCGGGGGAGGCGCCGACCTCGGCCGGCAGGTGAGCGCGCGGCGAGCCGCGCCGGCGGAGGTGGCCCCGCACGGCACCGGCGCGGTGGGGCCGGAGCCCCGGAGGCCCCCGACAGGAGTTTGTGGGGGGGGCAGCGAAGCCTGGGATGGGAAATCGTGACTGTTTGGGGGTGCCTCGGCAGTGAGGTTGGCCAAGCGAGGTCCTGGAGGGGTTGGGGCATCGAGGACTCCTCAATCCGCGCTCGACGCTCCCACCCTCGCTCCCCGCCGCCCTCTTCCCTTCCTCCCCTCGCTGGAGTTTCCAGCCTTGCCGGAGAAGGAGAGAAGGCATGTACTGGGGGGAGGGGCTGGCCTGAGGGTTTGGCAGCGGGGCTGTGAGTGAGTTTCCGAGTTTGGGGTAGGGTGTGATTGTGTTTAGGGGAGGGGGAGGCTGTCTGTATGTGGGAGGCCCCCTCTCTGCCTTTGCCCCAGACCTTTGGAATAGAAGGGGTGGCAGTGCCCTCATCTCCCGAAGGCCTGTTTCAGGGATGGCAGAGGGGCAGACTTTATTCAGAGAGGCTCCAAGGATCAACTGAAAAGCCAGAGGTGGAATTAGGTGGTGGGAGACCCTTTCTCCAGACAGTACTTGTCCCTTGCTGGAGTCCCTCAGTGAGCTGTGCGCCCTGGTAGGGGTTGTATGGCTGGGGCTGGAGGTGGGAGCCTTTTGCATTCCTTAGAGAGGACCATGGTTGGGGAAGGGAGGAAAAGGCAGCGCTGAACCTTCAGATACAGGCCCTGGGAAGGCTCCTCCACATCTGGAAAGGCCCGGAATTGAGGCCCACGTCCCAACATGGTGGGTGGTGCTGGCACTTTAGGGCCCTGCCTGGGCAGCGTCTTCTGCCATGAACTTTTTGAAATGGTTTTTAAATCCCTGGAGCCTACTTTTGCCAATGAAGGTAGGGGCAGATGGTCCCTGGGGACAGGATGGAGACGAAGTGGCCCAGGGGAGGGTGGAGTGAAGCAGTGGGCAGAGCTATTCTTGGGGCTGGGCCTTGGCCTTCTCTAGACTCTGGTCTGAGGCTGAAGGATCAGGGTTTGGGAGGGACTTGAGGTCTGGGAGGCACTAGGACTGGGCCTGGGACTGAATGGGACAAGGCTCCAGCTGTGGAACTGGTGGTTCCTGGAGAGCAGGGGGACCAGGACTCAGGGGAGGAAGAGGTCAGAGGCATAACGCCCAGGAGCCTGACTGTGGAAGAGGGAAGTGGCTTGAGCTCCTGGGCTTCATAGTGAAGGGTTCCTGGACAGGAGTGCTGGGAGCTGGGCATGATGGCCAGGATGGGCAATGCCTGGAGTGAGGGCCAGAGTGGAAGGCTGCAGTTGGATGGGCAGTTACAGAGCTCTGAAGCTATCCCCTTGGGGACTCAGAGTCTTCTTGGAAGGGTCATGTGTTCCCCTGGATAGTGTCTACCCCTTCCTCTGGGTATGAGCCAGATGCTAGGATGTGCTTCCAGGGGGCTGGAAATGTGGCCAGAGACAGGTCCTTTGGGAACAGTGGTCTAGGCCAGTGGTGGTGGGAGATCAGAATAAGGCAGGGGACTGACCCATGGGAGGTGGCTGAGGCGGAATATCATGGGAGGAGTGGTGGGAAACCTGCTCACTCTGGATTCTGTTCCCAGCATCTCTGGAGACTGGCAGCTGAGGACTCAGGGACTGATAGAAGCAGGCGTCTGACTGACTGGAATGATGTGTGTTCTTACTTAGGATGCTTGTCTCTCCAGCTCTTGATGGTGGTAGAGGTTTGGGTTCAGAGTAATGTAGGATATAGAGAAGAACTAATATTTATTGTGTGCTACATGACAAGTGTTACTAGATTTTTTTCTGGAAACTTGTTATTCCCATTTTATAGATGAAGAAACTGGTGTGGGAAGGTTCAGTAATTTGTGCAGGGTAGTGTACCTAGGAAATCATGCTAAAGTTTGAAACCTGGTCTCATGCCAAAGATCATGCTTCTAATGAAGTATTTTGAAGAGCCAGGCTTTCTTTGGTGACCTTTTCCAAATGCCAGCCTGACCAAAGTCTTGTATTCCTGATCTGTCTTTCCAGATAGTGCGATTAGTGATGTTGAGAGGTTGAAGGGCATGCAGCTCTGTGAGATACACAAGGGATACTGACAGGATTGACTGAGGGTTAACCAAGGATGCAGGTTTTGGGGTATATAGAGAAGTCCCCTCCCTGCCTTCTGCTTTGCAAGGGGCCTGGGTATCTGCTTGGAGTGCTGCTCCTCTGTCTCAGCATCTGGTTCTATGGCCACCTGGGACAGGCTCTGGGTACAATCCCCTCTCATTTCCTAGTGAGTACACGTGTCAGTGCTGCTAGCTCAGCAGGTTTAAGTACCAGGGGCCCCTCAGGGTGCCCTGCGGGTATGGAGGAATGGAGGAATTGTCAATGAGGCGGGACACAGGCATCTAGGGATGACAGTGCTTTTGGGTTCGCATATCAAAGCCGTTGTTATGGATCCTCCCATCACAGTTCAACCTGGGATCTGAGAATGATTTGGTTACCCAGGATCTCTAACTTGATGCAACCATATAAAACTGCCGTGGGCCCTGGTTTTTGTTTTGTTTTGTTTTGTTTTCTGTCAAATGTCTCCAGTATCCCAGATGGCCACAGGGACAGCATCACAGGATTTTGGTGAAGATCAGAAGGATTTAGGCATATAGAAAGACCTTGAAGCCAGGCACGGTGGTACACCTGTTATCCCAGCACTTGGGGCGCTGAGGCAGGAGGATCACCCGAGCTACATAGTGAGTTCAAGATCAGCCTGAACTACATAGTGAGACCCTGTCTCAAAATAAAAAAAAGATCTGGAGGGACCAGGGATTTAGCTCAGTGGTTCCAGCACCTGCCTTGCAAGCACAAGGTCCCGAGTTTGATCCCCGGTACCAAAAAACAGATCAGGAAGAATTTAAAAAACAGATAAAGTATGTGGTACTGTTATCCATCCATCCAGCAGCCATCCATCTACTCAGCAAAGTTTTGGATCCTACAAGTTATTGTAGATACTGCAGGGAGCAAAATAGCCCCAAGTCCCTGCCTTCATGAAGTTGACATTCCAGTTAGGAGAGACATGAACAAATAAGAAAAATGTGTAGAATTGGCAGTTGCTGGTAAGAGCTGTGGAGAAATAAATATGAAGCTGGAAAGAGAGCTAGGGAGCCCCAGGAAGGAGAGTTGCTATTTTAACTGGTGGTCAGAGAAAGCTTCACTGATAAGTAGACATTTGGGCTATGACCTGGAGGAGCTTTTGTTCTAGACTGGAGAATAGCAAGTGCCAGGGACTCAGGTTGGCCTGAGTTGGTATATTGGGGACAGCAGAGGCTAATGTGGTGAGGAATAGGGAGGAAGATGAAGAGTCAAGATTATCCTTATTAGTTACTATTTCACTCTAGCTGCTCTGCACCCATGCCCTCAAGCTGGCTTGCTTTCCATCTTTTCAACATGCATTTACTGAGCTCCTACTGTAAGCTGGACCCAGTATGAGGCTTCATGCTGGACTAAAATAGAAAAAATCCCTCCCTCCAAAGCTTAGAGTAAGAGGGACAGAGATACACATTAAACAAGGAGCAGTTTAGTTTGAACTGTAATGAATGCCATGAAGGAAATGTACAGAGGTAAATGGCACCAAACTTAGTATGGGCAGGGAGCTAGGAAATCATCCCTGAGGAAGTTACACTTCAGCTGTGACCTGAGGGAAAAGTTGAATTTAGCTTGATAGGGTGTGCAGTGTGTGTGTGTGTGTGTGTGTGTGTGTGTGTGGCGAGGAAGGATGTGGAAAGAGATTCCCTTTTGTACAGAGGTCACCGATTGGCAGCTCATAGGCTGAACTCATTCCATAGATGTGATTTGTTTGGCTTGCAGTGTTGAAAAATGTGGATTAGTTGCCAACATTTAAAAATCAGGAGATGTTGCATTGAAATCTAAGGATTTTTTTTCGTTAGCTTCTGTTGAAAACCCAGAAGCTCAGCTCTGCTGGACACCAGTGGTCACAGTGTACTGGTGCTGGTGGTGCTCGCCTCCGTAGTGTAGGTGTGGACTCTATTCCTCCCAGTTCTCCTGAACCATGGGCTGCTTCATTTCTTGACATGGGCATCTAAGTTTGTCACTACTAGGAAATCAGTGCCATTAGGGAAGAGGGGAATTGTTTTGTATGCTGGCTTTGGGGTCAGGCAAATCTGGCCTAGAAGCTTAGTTTTCCCACTTATGTAGTTGCTGGAACTTGAGCAAGTTTCTCCATCTCTCTGTTTTGGTTCCTCACTTGTTGAAAAGGGATGCCATTGCCTACTTTGGAGTGTTTTTATGAGTATTTTTTTTTTCTGGTACCAGGGATCAAACTTAGGACCTTGTGCTTGCAAGGCAGGCATGGCACCATTGAGCTAAATCTCTGGCCCCTTTATGAGGATAATGTGTATGAAGCACTTAGCTCTGCTGTAGGAAGTGCTTGGATAAGGAGCTACTAGTGGTAGCAGTAGCCCTGATGGTGGTATTGATAGCATCTCCTCCCTTTTCTCCCAGCAGCATGTCATGGTTTAGTGGCCTTCTGGTCCCCAAAGTGGATGAACGAAAAACAGCCTGGGGTGAACGCAATGGACAGAAGCGCCCACGCCGAGGGACTCGGGCCAGTGGCTTCTGCACGCCTCACTATATGAGCTGCCTCCAGGATGCAGAGCCACCCAGCCCCACCCCTGCAGCTCCTGCTCGGTGCCCCTGGCAGGATGAAGCCTTCATCCGGAGGGCTGGGCCAGGCAAGGGCAGGGAGCTGGGGCTTCGGGCAGTGGCCCTGGGCTTTGAGGACACTGAGGTGATTGCAGCAGCAGTGGGGACGGCTGAGGTGGCACCCAGTGTAGCACGCAGGAGTGGACGATCATGCTGGCACCGTCTGGTGCGGGTGTTCCAGTCAAAACAGTTCCGCTCAGCCAAGCTGGAGCGCCTATACCAGCGGTACTTCTTCCAGATGAACCAGAGCAGCCTGACACTGCTGATGGCAGTGCTCGTGCTGCTGACAGTTGTGCTGCTGGCCTTCCATGCCACACCTGCCAGTCCTCAGCCCGCCTATGTGGCCCTGCTGGCCTGTGCTGCCACCCTTTTTGTGGCACTCATGGTAGTGTGTAACCGACATAGCTTTCGCCAGGACTCTATGTGGGTAGTGAGCTACGTGGTGCTGGGCATCCTGGCAGCTGTGCAGGTTGGGGGCGCCCTGGCAGCCAACCCGCACAGCCCCTCAGCAGGCCTCTGGTGCCCCGTGTTCTTCGTCTACATCACCTACACGCTCCTACCCATCCGCATGCGGGCTGCCGTGCTCAGTGGCCTGGGCCTTTCCACCCTGCATTTGATCTTGGCCTGGCAACTCAACCGTGGTGATGCCTTCCTCTGGAAGCAGGTGGGTATGGAGGATATCAGTGCAGGAACTGAAAGGGGCTTGATAAGGCAGGGTGGGTAGGTCATGGGTGGATCCTGGGTACAGGGTTGTTTGGCTGTGTCTGGAAGGTCAGGCTTCCGAGGTGCACCTCCACTTTGGATCTGGGCACAGGGCACTGTTGAGTAGAAGGAGGACCCCAGGACGCACCCTGTACTCTGCCCGTAGGCCAGTCTCCAGCTCTGTGGCCTGAGCCTGCTGAAATAACGCAGCCCGAAGAGACGCTGTGTAGGAGTAGAGGTGGGGATGTGCTGTTTAGACCCTGGGTTGTGGGCGTGGGTGGTGTTGAGAAGGCAGGCTTGTCCGGGGCTTGGCTTCACTATCCCCAGCTGACCCCTGAGATTAAGGCCCTGGTGCCATCTCTGAAGGGCAGCTCTAGATAGGGATCTGGAGGGACAAGCAGGTTTTGAATGGAGTTGGCAAGGGAAGAGTCACCAGTGTCCTGGACCAGGGTCATTTCTGAGGGGACAGGGAAAGTGGAGAGCGGGAGTCACTTCTCTCTTGGGGTTGGGGTGGTGTAAATGTGCTTGGGCTCCAAAAGAGAAGAGCACTGGAATCTGATGTCATCCTATCTTCACGCACTGGGCCTGGCAGCCCTGCCTTGAGATTCTCTGCTGGTGCTGACTACTGCCTTGGGATTGTGTGTGGGCGAGGTAGGGCTTGGTAGGACCTTGTAGAGTGAGGATAAGGGCTTTGCTGCCCACCGATCTGGCTGCTCAGTGGGCTGCATTCTTCTCTTTGAGATCTTAGACAGTTGTTCTCACCTTTCCTGGCCTGAGTTTCCTGGTCTGTAAAACTGGTAAAAATACCATCTACCTCTTGAGTGTTGCTGTTGGGACTCCACCCTTCCCAGAGTGGAGTAGGACCCACCCAGCGGCCCAGGCAACCTGGAGATGGTGAGCTGTGAAGAATGGCGCAAGGGCTTTCCGAGAGACCTGCTAGTGGGTCTGTCATTTCAGGCCACCTCTGCCTAGGGAGCAAAGGTGAGACTGCTGCAGGTCCAGCCTCCTCATTGGCGCTGGTCCAGGGTGCTGTGCTCTGCCTTGCTCATTGTGAAGGGCCAACCTCTGCCTTGCTAAGGGCTTGTGTCCTATAGCCCACCCTGGCCTTACCCGTGAAGAGGAAGCTGCCTGGAGCTACAGGGAGAAAAGCTAGGTGCCCTGGCATGATGCCCTTTCCCGCCAAGCCTCTGCTCCAGAACAGAACATACCTTTTTAAAAGTAACTTTGTAGCCCATGTGTTTGTGGAGCACGTGCTGGAAGGGCACTCTCAGACCTCTTAAAGGGCCAGGTTCTTCTACCCGTGCTAGTCCCTCGCCTTCTCTTCCAGGTTGGTTGTCACACTGGGCTTTGAGGCTGCACTGCCCTCCTGGGGGCAAGGGAGCTTAGAGAGGTTGCCTCCCTTCCATCTTCCTCTCTGGTTGGTGCTGGTGGCAGGTTTCTTCCCTGCTCTCAGCTGGCATGGTTACCAGAGCCAGGCCTGGCCCCTGAGTGGGGAGGCTCAGCCTCAGAGAGGCCAGGGCTCCTAGGGGCTGCTGGGCTATCACTTCACCCCTGTGGGTCTAGGCTGATACATTCTTGCGATGGTACAGAAAATCATCCTGCCCCTGTGCCCATCTGAGGGGTCAGGGCTGCCCATACAGCCTCCTCTGACCTGGGAACAATTTTCTGCTCATTTGGGCTCAGGAGTTTCTAGATGGGGTACCCTGTGGCTTCCCCATTCTCAGATCTAACCCTGCTCATTCTTGGAGGAAGAACCTTTTGGACACACCAAGCAGTTTCACCCAGTGACCCCAGCCTAGCCCAGAGTCACCTCCAGTGCCCTGGCATCCATCTTTTTCCTCACAGTCGACTGTGATGTGTGTGTACAGAGTTATTTCAGTCGCTCATCCCCCTTCCCTCCACCATGACTCACATTTTCCTCTTGGGCTCCTGGGGCCAGGGAGGGAAGTTGCCTGGTTTGCCCCCCCTTTCCTTCTACCCCACTGGGGACTATTCTTAGAAGCCCCAGAGGGAGATAGTGTGCCCCCTCTTCACCTCTGGTGCTCGGAGAGGAGCTCAGCAGGGCCCTTGTACATACTGGTCTGGGAAGAGAAGCTGGGAGGCCGTCCTAGAGGGTCAGAGCTGAAAATGGTTCGGGCTTAGCCACACCAACCCCTCAATTTTACACAGAGGAAACTGAGGTCCCAGAGGTGAAGGACTTGTCTAAGTCTGCAGGACGAGTTCTGGTTCAGGGCAGTTGGTGAGCTTTCCCTCCCTTCTCCCCAGCCAGAGCTCTGCCACATCCAACTCTGGGGTGGAGCCAGGTTAACCCCTGAGTCTCCAGAAACACTGAGGCCATTCCCCAGAATGTTCTCTCCAGTGCTGCTGAGGATGACTGGAGAGTAGTGTGTGTGTGTGTGTGTGTGTGTGTGCGCGCGCACGCGTGTGTGTTATACCTCGGGGATTGGTGGGGTTGGTCAGGCCAAGGGCGGCACCTCATCCCCAGTCAGGGAGGGTTTTTCTGTCAGTAGAATTGATGATTCCCAAGCCCCAGCTCTGAGGCTGGACCTCAAGAGTTAGTCAGTGGAGTGGAGAGGACTCTTAGAAATCTGGAATGCATTAGGAAGTGGGATTAGGACACAGGCTTTTGGATCTGACTGTCCTGGACTCCAGTCCTATGCCAGTCATACCAGTTGTGCAATCTTAGGCAACTTACTGAGGGTTTTTTTGTTTTTTTTTTAAGACAGGGTCTCACTGGGTAGTTCAGGCTAGCCTTGAACTCACTTTGTAGCCCAGGCTGGCCTCAAACTCATGGTGCTCCTCCTGCCTCAGCCTCCTAAGTGCTGGGATTATAGGCATTCACCCCCTACCCCAACTAGTCCCTCACTTTTTTTTTTTTTTTTTTGGTGCCCGGGATCGAACTAGGGACCTTGTGCTTGCAAGGCAGGTGGTGGAACCACTGAGCTAAATCCCTGGCCCTAATCCCTCACTTTTAAAATGGGATGCTGTTACCTAATTTGTGGAGGTTTTTTTTTTGATACCCGGGATCAAACTCGGGACCTTGTACTTGCAAAGCAGGTGGCGGAACCACTGAGCTAAATCCCTGGCCCTAATTTGTGGAGTTTTAAGACCTACAATAGTTAATGTATAGAAAGTATCCATAGAATCTTGGCACATTGCAGATAGCCAACAAACTAGCTCTGGTGGTAATAACAATAATTATTGTTACTCAGTCTGCAGGGCAGAAGGACACTTTAGAGATTTTATTTCCTGCTGGAGTTACAGATGAGCAAACAGAGGCCCAAACAGAGAGATGAGCTGACTTGTCCTGGGTCACTCACAGGAGGACAAAGATCTCAGGTCTCCTGGACACTGTCCTGTAAGGAGACCACATGGGGAGGGAGCAGCATTTGCCTTTTGTTTGGATGTTTGTGGGGCAGGAGATCATAGGGTGTTGGGGCTGGGTACTACCTGCACTTGTTGGTGCTCCTGCTTGCTGAAGCTGTGAGATGATCACCTTCCTAGTCATGGAGTGATCCCAGGCAAGAGGGGTGGGATCTGCATTTCTGTGGGGAATGGGAAAGAAGGATTAGAGAGCTGGGAACAGACAGGATGCAGACCTCAGCTTCCTCCCCAAGGAGTGAGTCTAGAGAGAACCTCGAAAGTTGCATGCATATGTATGTTGGGAAGTGGTCTCCCATCTGGCTCTGCCGCTTTCCTGCAGCTTGGTGCTAATGTGGTACTGTTCCTCTGCACCAATGTCATTGGCATCTGCACACATTATCCGGCTGAAGTGTCTCAGCGCCAGGCCTTTCAAGAGACCCGCGGTTATATCCAGGCTCGGCTGCACCTGCAGCATGAAAATCGGCAGCAGGTGGGGGCTCTTCCCTTGACCAGGACATTCCCTTTCTTGCCTCCCCATCAAAATTTGCAGAGTGGATCTGCTGCTTTATTGAAGTCTGTGTGAATGATTTCCCCTGGACTGTGTGGATGCCCCCTGCAACACCAGGGGTCTGCCCTGCCGCAGCGTGTGAGGGAGTAGACAAGAGTACATAAAGGAGGATTGAGTGGGGGCTGATCAGAGAGGGCCAGGGTAGATGTCCTCCTTGGGCTCTGGTGGGGTGGGTCTGCCTACAGTTCAGAAGGGGAGCTCAGGTCACTAGAGAGGTATGGGAGGGCTCTGGGAATGTGGCAGAAGCAGGAGGATCAAAATGTGAGGCAGAGACGATAGCAGTGCCCTGTTGGAACCACTGGTCTAGGAGCGGCTGCTGCTGTCCGTGTTGCCCCAGCACGTTGCCATGGAGATGAAAGAAGACATCAACACAAAAAAAGAAGACATGATGTTCCACAAGATCTACATCCAGAAGCATGACAATGTCAGGTAGGATGGAGATGGGAGAATTCCAGGGAGGTGGGGTGAGGGTTTGGGAGTCAGGCTACAAGGCCCATCCATCCTTTGCTGTTGTCCACAGCATCCTATTTGCAGACATTGAGGGCTTCACCAGCCTGGCCTCCCAATGCACTGCACAGGAGCTGGTCATGACCTTGAATGAACTCTTTGCCCGGTTTGACAAGCTGGCTGCGGTGAGGGTGCTGGGGCTTGGGGACGGTGTGTCAAGCGTGGTGACAGCACAGCTTTGCTGGTGGCAATGGGGTGTGGGGGCAAATAGCATCTGCAGTGAGGCTGGGTGGGCAAGGAAGTAAAGGTGATCCTTCCCTCCACCTCTTCCCCTTCAGGAAAATCATTGCCTGAGGATCAAGATCTTAGGGGACTGTTACTACTGTGTGTCAGGGCTGCCGGAGGCCCGGGCAGACCATGCCCACTGCTGTGTGGAGATGGGGGTGGATATGATCGAGGCCATATCGTAAGCAGTGCCCCATCCCCAGGCTTCCTGGAATCTTGGGTGCCCCAGACTGCTCCTGCTCTGGCATGTTCTCAGGAATTTTCCTATCTTGGCTCTTTCTCCGTCTCTAAGATCTGTCACTGGGGAGGGGAATGGCTCTTTCTCCAGCCACTATGAAGACCCATGTGCACCCTTGGACTTTAGCCAGCTCGGAGGGGGTGGGGAGCTAGGGCAGGGGGGGGTTGGAGGCTGCAGAGATGCAGCTCAGCTGGCCAGAGGTGAGAATAGTGATTCTTCCTCTCCTGGCTCAATCCCACAAGATGCTCAGACCCCTGCTGAACACAGTTCTCAAGCCTTTGTGCTTGAGCCCCTGGGCAGCCTTTTTACCACGTCCAGGTTATACTATGCACCTGTCTCCTGCATCTGGGTCTGTCCATGCCTACTGGACTGCCTGGGTTCTGGGCTGGGGGGCGGGGGGAGGGAGAAACTGCCAGGAGCTGATCCAGAGCTGCATTTTTCCAGGCTGGTGCGTGAAGTGACTGGTGTGAATGTGAACATGCGTGTGGGCATCCACAGCGGGCGTGTGCACTGTGGTGTACTCGGCCTGCGGAAATGGCAGTTTGATGTGTGGTCCAATGATGTGACCCTGGCCAACCACATGGAGGCGGGAGGCCGGGCCGGGTGAGTGGAGAGGTCCAGGTGGTGGGGTTTGGGAACAAGGTGGGAGAGCCGGGGTCTTACCTCCTGCCCCCAAACAGCCGCATCCATATCACTCGGGCCACGCTGCAGTACCTGAACGGGGACTATGAGGTAGAGCCAGGCCGTGGCGGTGAGCGCAACGCATATCTCAAGGAGCAACGCATTGAGACCTTCCTCATCCTGGGTGCCAGCCAGAAACGGGTCAGGCCAGGGCGTGGCTAAGGGTGGGGGAGGCATGGATGGAGAGGGACAGACTGGGGGGAGCTGTTAGAGCCCTTCTTGAGGCCCTTCTTTTGAGCTTGTACCCACATGGCCAACACAGAAAGAGGAGAAGGCCATGCTGGCCAAGCTGCAGCGGACACGAGCCAACTCCATGGAAGGGCTGATGCCACGCTGGGTACCTGACCGCGCCTTTTCCCGGACCAAGGACTCCAAGGCTTTCCGCCAGATGGTGAGGGAGCCTTAGCACCAAGACCTGGGGCCTCATTTTCTTATCTCCCTCTACACCCCATGTCCTCCTTCCTGAAGCTTCTATCTCCATGTATGCTTTCTCATATAGAGGTGAGGAGAGATGACTTCATCCCAGGGGTCCCAAGTCCCCCAAAGTGTGTGTGCTGAGGGACCCCCTTAGTAGGCTGTTAAGGAGGGAGAATGGAACTTCAGAGGTGAATGTAGCTGGGTCCCGCCCTTCACTGACACACGCTTCTCTCTTTCTCTAGGGGATTGATGATTCCAGCAAAGACAAGTAAGTCAGGTTATTGAGGAAGGGGAAGAGGAGGGAAAGGCACTTGTGCCTTGGATGGGGCTTTGGGAGCTGAGGTCCTCTTTCTTGAGCCTTTGCTATATTTTGTGCGAATAGGAGCCATGCACGCTCACACACCCTCCCGCTGCTTATCACGCGGTCTTGCTCAGGCACCTGGTAAAACACATGCCTTGTCCTCAGCCGGGGTGCTCAGGATGCTCTGAATCCTGAGGATGAGGTGGATGAGTTCCTGGGCCGTGCCATTGATGCCCGCAGCATCGATCAGCTGCGTAAGGACCATGTGCGCCGGTTCCTGCTCACCTTCCAGAGAGAGGATCTTGAGAAGAAGGTTTGGGGGATACGGGCAAAAGAACAAGGGCCAGGGGGAGGGGCAGGTCCAGGCAGGGAAGGTTGAGCACAGGTGAGGTAGCAGGAGGTGGTTTTGGGGAGTAGGGAGGGACCACAGAACAGAGGGGGCTTCATATCAGTTGGGACAACTGCTTCTCCTCCCCTTGAGGCCCCTGGTAGTGCTCTACCCTTGCTGTCCCTGCCTCAGCCAAGGCAGAGCCCAGGGCCCAGCTCAGCCTCCTCTCCCTCAGTACTCACGGAAGGTGGATCCCCGGTTTGGAGCCTACGTTGCCTGTTCTCTGTTGGTCTTCTGCTTCATCTGCTTCATCCAGCTCCTCATCTTCCCACAGTGAGAGCCCTGCCCCTTTGCACCACTTCCCAGACCTTCCTAAACACCCTAGCAGACTCCTAGTCCCTGGAGCCCGCACCCCTCTCTGGACCAGGGATGGAGACAAGGATGTCCAGATATTCCCAAGTGACATTTTCCCGGGCCCTGTCCTCCCCTAGCTCAACCCTGATGCTTGGGATCTATGCCAGTATCTTCCTGCTGTTGTTGATGACTGTGCTGATCTGTGCTGTGTACTCCTGTGGTTCTGTACGTAGAGGGACTTCCCTGGGGCTTTGGGGGTGGGCAGGGAATTGGGAGGGGGAAGAGAACCTGTGCCTCTCCTGGTGGGCCCTCCCTAGTTGGCCTTCCTTCCTGGCTCATGTGACTTCCATCTCTTGGTCTGTTGCTACTCCAGCTGTTCCCCAAGGCCCTGCAACATCTGTCCCGAAGCATCGTTCGCTCGCGGGCACACAGCACCGCAGTTGGCATCTTTTCAGTCCTGCTTGTGTTCCTCTCTGCCATCGCCAACATGGTAAGGGTCTGATGGGAATTCTCCTGCCTTTGCTCTGTGCCAGGCACTGCTTTGGCACCAGGAATGCAGGGGAGTAGAACATGTTTCCTGCCTTCAGGGAGCCCGCTGTCCTGGAGGAGGGGGAGGCTAACTCCAGTTTCTTCTCTCATTTCCCCCTCTTACCATCCCTGAGAACTTTGGCCCTTGGGTATAAGGCACCTGGGCATGACCCTTGCGACCCTTTCCTTCCTTGGTTACCCTGATATACACTGGCTTTTGCAGTTCACCTGTAACCATACACCTATACGGACCTGTGCAGCCCGGATGCTGAATTTAACACCTGCTGACATCACTGCCTGCCACCTACAACAGCTCAATTACTCTCTGGGCCTGGATGCTCCCCTGTGTGAGGGCACCGCACCCACCTGCAGCTTCCCTGAGGTGTCCAAGCAGTGTTCAAGCAGAGGGAGATGTGCTGGCACAGTTATTGGTCCCTCTGTGCCAGGCCTGGTGATGGGCACTGGGGACCCAGGACTCCTCAGAGTCCCTAACTCCAAGAGCAGCCAGGGGCCCTGGTGTGGTGTAGGTTGGAGGCACAGGGTGAAGGGTATTGGGATGTGAGGGTTGAAGAGGGGAACATAGGTCAGGCAGGGGAGTGCAGGGCTTTTCCTGCCCTGGGGGCCATGGCCTCTGCCATCACCCAACGCTGCCTCTGCCATTGCCCCCCAGTACTTCGTCGGGAACATGTTGCTGAGTCTCTTGGCCAGCTCTGTCTTCCTGCACATCAGCAGTATCGGCAAGTTGGCCATGATCTTCATCTTGGGGCTTATCTATTTGGTGCTGCTTCTGCTGGGTCCCCCAGCCACCATCTTTGACAACTATGACCTACTGCTTGGCGTCCATGGCTTGTAAGTTTATTTTCAGCCCTTTGAATGCCCCAGGAGTCTCCCAACCCTGCTAGATCACTGAGAACCTCTCAAGTGCTCAGGACCTTGTACCTTGGGAATGCTACAACTCACCCCTGGGGAAAGGAAGGAGATGGGGGGAATTCCTGGCATGTTACCCCAAGTAGTTACCCCAAGGAAACCCCAGTCCTGGGAAGTCCCTATATCTTCAGTATCAACATTTAAAAAATCCCTCTCCCACTTGCGTGGTGCTTTCCTGCCCACTGTTTTAACCACCTGGATGTCATAGCTGCTTGGTGCAGAGTGCTAGCTAGGAAGCAAAACTTCTGACTCCTGCTTGAGGGCTTTCCCAGGGACACCACATTGGCTTTTCCTTCCCAAAGCCCCATCCTTTGTGATATGTGGCCATAGCTTGTTGTGGTAGAGAGAGCCTCTGGAGTCTGCTGGGTTCGAATCTCTGCTCTGCTGCTCATTAGCTGTGTAACCTCAGACAGGTGAGGTAAGTTCTCTGAGCCTCAATTTTCTCATCTGTCAAATGGCAATACCATCTATATCACAGGGTAGTTGTAAAAGTTATGGTAACTAACATTTATGAAGACTTACTTCATGCCAGACATATGCTAAGCCTTGCATATGTATTATTTAGATCTGATCCCTGTTTTACTGATGAGTAACTGAGGCTTAGAAAGTTTTAAGCCACTTGTCCCAGGTCATATAGCTGGTAAGTACTTAAGCCACTAAGAGTTTTAACCTCTGTTCTTAAGGAGTTCATCAGTATAAGGAAAGGCCTTGGCCTAATGCATGACTAGTGATACGGCTTGGCTGTGCAGTTTCTCTTGCCCCTCCATGCCCTGCCTAGCCATTCAGGAAGCACCGATGACTTTCTCTCTTGTATCTTCCTACCAGGGCTTCTTCCAATGAGACCTTTAATGGGCTGGACTGGTAAGTGAGGGCTCGGGGGCAGCAAAGGGTGATGCTAGTGGATGCCTCCATCAGACACCAAGCACAGCTGTTTATCCTCAGCCCAGCTGTAGGGAGGGTGGCACTGAAATACATGACACCTGTGATTCTGCTGGTGTTTGCGCTGGCACTGTATCTGCATGCCCAGCAGGTGGAGTCGACTGCCCGCCTGGACTTCCTCTGGAAACTGCAGGTGACTTGGGTGGACCTTTAGGGGAAGGAGTGGGACCTGGGAGTAGAGCCTGCTCCAAGCCAGAAATGCATTTCTTGCCAGCTAAGGCTCAGTGTGCCCTAAGCCCACTCTGATCCCATGCTGCCTTTGTATCCATTCCCTGTCTTCTGCCCCGTCTTGTACCTGGTCTCTCTGGCTGTTCTTTAGGCCTCATCTGTCCATGCCCTTGGCCACTGCACCTAGCCCTTGTGGGTGTTGGGCAGTGGGTGATGAGTGTGGTGTTTGCAGGCAACAGGAGAGAAGGAGGAGATGGAAGAGCTCCAGGCATACAACCGACGGCTGCTGCATAACATCCTGCCCAAGGACGTGGCTGCCCACTTCCTGGCCAGGGAGCGCCGGAATGATGAGCTCTACTACCAGTCCTGCGAGTGTGTGGCTGTCATGTTTGCTTCCATTGCCAACTTCTCGGAGTTCTATGTGGAGCTGGAGGCCAACAATGAGGGTGTGGAGTGCCTGCGGCTGCTCAATGAGATCATTGCCGACTTTGATGAGGTAATTGGCAACTGGCCGGTACTGGGAGAGTGGGGGGACTTGGGGACCGGGGGAGTCGAGGGAACATTGGATGAGAAGGCCACAGTTGGAGGGGCTAGGTGGTACTTGGAGGAGAAGGGGAGATTTGATGGCATCCGGAGATGTCATGGGTACAGATAAGGGTAGGGACAGTGGAAGCAGGGACAAGAGCCCGTGAAAGTGTCAGGGAATAAGGAGTCATCTCAGTGGGGCAGGGTCATCCTTGTTAGGGAGCAAAGGAGGACGTGAAAACCTGCGGGAGCCAGGATAGGGTAACAGTAGCTTGTGGACAGAGCCCCAAGAGACCAAACAAGCAAGGTGGTCCCCTGAATAGAGAAAAGGGAAGCGAAATGTGACCAGTTGTCCTGAGCACCCTGCTCAGGAGTGAGCTCTTCACTGTTTGGGATGGAACCCCTTCCTTACGCTGGGACTCAGCTCCCCAAAAGGTGAGGGCTGGAGTCACGGATGCTCAGCATCTTTTCTGCTGGTCGGAGAGTAGGCCATCGCAGTTGACCTGCAAGTCCTTGCCTGGCCCCTGGATCCTTTGCCGACAGGGGCACAGCTGGAAGGGGGCTCACCCACTAAGCTGAGGGGAGCTGCTGCGGCAGGAAGGGAGGAAGGGAGCCAGGCCTGGGAAGGAATGAGGCAGGACTCCCTGGGCCAGGGCTGGGTTTGGCCTCCTTGGCCTCAGCCGGACCCCTGTATTGTCCAGATTATCAGCGAGGAGCAGTTCCGGCAGCTGGAGAAGATAAAGACAATTGGCAGCACCTACATGGCTGCCTCTGGGCTGAACGCCAGCACCTACGATCAGGCGGGCCGCTCCCACGTCACTGCCCTCGCAGACTACGCCATGCGGCTCATGGAGCAGATGAAGCACATCAACGAGCACTCCTTCAACAACTTCCAGATGAAGATCGGTGAGAGGGCCTGGCTCCTTGGCGGGTTTCCGAGGGCTGTTTCGGGGTCAAGCTGAGTGTATGGGCTGGGATGGGCTCACAGGTTCTCCATCAGGGCTTCTGTGAGGTTCTCTTCCCTTCCCTTTTCTATATTGTCTTATATTAAGAAGAGACCATTTACTGTGGGCCTACTACGTGTTGGCCTCTGTGCTAGGTATTTTAAACACACTTAATCCTTGTATCATCTCCTTTTTAAATAAGGAACCAGGCATGGTGGTGCATGCCAGTAATCCCAGTATTTGAGAGGCTGAGGCAGGAAGATGGCCATGAGTTTGAGGCCAGCTTGGGCTACATAGTGAGTTCAAGGCCAGCCTGAACTACATAGCAAGACCCTGTCTTTAAAAAAAAATAAGGAAAAATAACTCACTCAAGATCAAGTAAGTGGCTAAGATAGGTTTTGAAACCAAGCTTTTCTACACCCGTGTCCTTATCTGTGGCTAGTCTGAGAAGAGGTATTTCTTCTCAAATGAACTAGTAGAGGGCAGTGGTTAATTCTTGGTGTCAGACTGGTTTGACTCCTGGCAGTAAGTTTCACTTACTGGTTCCTAACAGTACCTTGTCTGTAAAATGGAAATAAAAATACTTGTGTTTGAGAGGTGGTGAGAGGGTGCAGTAAGGTAAAATTCTTACTCCAGTATTTGGCACAGAGTGAGCATTCGGTAGATCACCTACTGTTACAGCACAGTTATTTAAAACTGAGGGAACTAGGGCCAGGGATTTAGCTCAGTGGTTCCACCGCCTGCCTTACAAGCGCAAGGACCTGAGTTCGATCCCCAGTACCCCCCCCCCCCAAAACCTGAGGGAACTTTGCAGTCTACCTGTCCAGGGCTTTTGTTTTTAAAGACAACATCTTGCTATGTAGTTTAGACTGGTCTTGAACTGACTATGTAGCCCAGGCTGACTGAACTTACGGCAGTCCTGCCTCAGCCTCCAAGTGCTGGGATTACAGGTATACAACATCGTGTTTGTTTTTTAATACGAGGTACTGGAAATTTAACCCAGGACCTTCACACTAGCTACATTTTTCTAGTTTTTAACTTTGGAGATATGGTCTTCCTAATTCACAAAGTTACCCAGGTTAGGTTTGAATTTGTGATCCTCTTGCCTTAACATCCACAGTGCAGGGGTTACAGTTGTGTACCACCATGCCTGGCTGGAGGTCTTCCACTCTTTACTTTACCACCAGGAGATTTGTCCCTTTCCACTTTTTTCCCTGGGTCCTCCTCAAGGTGCTAGGAGGTGGGATGACCTCTAAAGCTGGCCCTGGAGCATTCACTAGTCTAATCTCTTGCCTTTCTCCCCACTTCAGGGCTGAACATGGGCCCAGTTGTGGCAGGTGTTATTGGAGCTCGGAAGCCACAGTATGACATCTGGGGGAACACAGTGAACGTCTCTAGTCGCATGGACAGCACAGGGGTGCCTGACCGGATACAGGTGAGGGGTATGAGGCAGGGCTGGGAGGGCTGCACAGGTCTCTCTGCAGGACCGGAGCAGGGTGGCAGTCTTCTGTGGTGGGTGGGGCAAGGGTTGGGGGAGGGGAGCTAGCCTGACTAGAGAACCTCTGGGCTTCTGCAGATGCAGCAGGAAGGATTCCAGGCTAAGCAGGCTCCCCTCCCACTCCCCCAGGTGACCACGGACCTGTACCAGGTTCTAGCTGCCAAGGGCTACCAACTGGAGTGTCGAGGGGTGGTCAAGGTGAAGGGCAAGGGGGAGATGACCACCTACTTCCTCAATGGGGGCCCCAGCAGTTAGCAGGCCCAGCTGCAGATTCAGCTGAAGGGACCAAGGTGGGCATTGAGTGGACTCTGTGCTTGCTGGGTGGAGCTGTGCCAGGGAGCACTGAGCCTCCAGATCTTGGTGATCACAAGAGGGAACACCCCAGCAGGCTGCTTGGACCGTGCTCGTCTGTCCTCAGACTGGTGAACAGGGATACCAAGAAGATTATGCAACTGACTTTCTTTTTTAATTGGGGTAGGGCTGTTTCTTCTACTTTCTTCCAGCTTTTGGGAGCAGCAGAGGGAGCAGTACAGACAGGGGGAACCCTCCTGCCTGAGAGATTAAAATGGCAACTTGCCATGCCTACCCTTTCCCTGTCTGGACAACAGGCTCAGGGCTAGGTCTTTTCTTTCCCTTTTTCCTGGGAATATTTTTGTACAAAGACGGGGCAGGCATGAGGAGTGCCTATTCCATACTTGCCTTTGCTATGCCTGTGTCCCCCGCACTAGTCCTGGGTACCACCAGTCTTAGCCAGGTCTCCCTCCTAGGTACAGGGCAGGGCGGAGACATTCTGGGAACCCAGCTCTATCCACATTTTAGGGAAATGTTTCCATTTGCCAAATCCTTGTCCCATGATCTGTTCCCCAAAGGGGAACAAAGGGATCTGAGACAGTTTAGATTTAGCCCCAGTTCCTGCACGCTCCAGGGAAAGGGGTGTCTGGCCTCACTGGTACTGTAAAAATGGCCAGCCTGTGTGTGGGTGTGGAGATGTCAGGTGATCAAAAGCTGGACATTCACCTACAGGTGCCAAAGAATGCAGGCGGCTAGGTAGGGGATGGTACCAGGCTTATCTGAGGCTCAGCTGTGGCTAGGATCAGGTCCCTTGATCCCAGCACTTGCTTGCTGGCAAGGGGGCACGGAGCATTTCTGCTCCTTCTGTTGCCAAATAGAAAAGGGTCAGGGCACAGAGGACAATGACCCTGATCCCAAACTTGGCTTCCCAAGTCTCTGGTACTGGGGAGGGCCTGTGTATTTACGTAACCGTGTGTGCATGTTGCTCTTTGTGTGCATATCTGTTTTCCAGGTCTGTGTATGTCCTTGTGCTCCTGCTCCTCAGCTCTCCACCAGGGGTTGCCTCTCTCCTGTGGGTCTCTCTTCTGGGAATAAGGCAGGGTTTCCCGTTTCAAGGGATACAGAGAGATGCCCAGCTTGCACAGGAGTGGGATGGGGTGTGGCGGCAAAAGGAGGGTGGCCTGGGGAGAGGAGTCCTTTTTGTGCCAAATCCCTAAGTGCCATTTGGGGCCACGTGTACAGCATGACTGTCTCCCTGTCTGAGGCAGGGACCCGAGTGCCTGCTTGAGCCTCAATGCTCCATGCATTTGAACTGTCTGGGGTTTAGTGGCCACAGGCTCAGGAATTTCCTGGGTTCCCCAGCTTGTGTCCTGGAATGTGTTATGCTTTAGGACTGGGGCAGCATGGGATCCTTCTTAGGACCCAGATATTGGTACTAGGGGATGGGGCAGGGGGATCTTAAACTAGGCTTCCCTCAGCCTTTAGCCTGAGTCTCCATGTTCCTGGCTCCCAATCCCCATGAAGCCTGAAAGGGCTGCTAGAAGGGTTAGGAAGTTGGACTCTAGATTCCCTTCCTATCCTTACCTTCTTTTTACCCCTTTCCCTGCAGCCTCTTTGACTCTGGCCTGAAGTAGCTGGTGCCTTGGTTTCTCTGTCTATACTTTTTAAAGCCAGAGGCATTAGCCTGAGTTTTGCTTGAAGATCACTTTGTCCTGTAAGTGTCTAGAGAAGCAGAGGAGAAAGGAGTTTGGGGAGGTGGAAGGAATAGGTAGTGCCCTTGCCCCTCCTCATGCTCCTTCTAACTCACCAGCTCCTCGCGGAAGCCTGATTCTGGCTTGGTACTGTGCCTTGGGGCTCTCCATGCATCAACCAAATGAACCACTAGGCACTTCATTAGCCAGGGCAGAAAAGGAGAGAAGCTAGCTGCTTCAGACAGAAAACTGATTCCCTGTCCCATCCAGCCATATCTCTGGAAAGGAAGGATTCCTTGGTGCCATGGGGAGGCGGGGAGGGTGTAAGTGAGCCAGAGTGGGAAGACCTCAGCCTTGGGTGATTTGTCTCTGCTTCTTGCCAGGTAGGAGGGTTCTGTCCACACCCTGGCTCCCTGTACCACAGTGCCAGTCATGCCCTTCCCCTGGGTTACCATTGCCCCTTTCCTTACTGGTTGGGGAGGAGTCAGGGGATGGGAGGCATGGGCTTTGGTTTTATAATGTAACCACTGTGGGAGTGGGGGAGGGTGGTGTACCATGTATTTCAGTGAAATATTTAATATATTTAAATATCAATAAAATCAAATTCTTTGTAAAATTTTCTGTTCTCTGCAGCTGTTCTGGGCCCTGGGTTGGGTCAGAAGTGGCAGAGCCTAGTGCAGGAGTCAACCTCCTGCCCCAGGGCCCTATGGGCTACTCTCATCTGTGGTCTGAGGGCCTCTCGTAGGTTTCTCCTTGCCAAGGTGAAGCCTCAGTGTCTACAGAGGACATGATTTCTCCAGGCCTTTAGCATCGTGAGAACCAGGGTGTGTGTTCCCAGATTTGTTACTCTGACCCTTATCATTCATGGGCCACATAAAGACCCCTACAGTTTTCCTTCCAGAGCCCTGGCCCCTCCAAACATCTCATACCAATAGCTGGCCTCTTCAGTAAGCTCACACACTTGCTGTCACAGCAGTCTGGGTATTGGAGTATCTCTCCATCTTCCATCTCCCATCTCCCAGTGACACAAGTGACCTCTTGTCCAACTGTTTACTCTGCTTTCTTGATCTGCTCCTGCCATTAGCAAGTCATACGAACTGGGACATGTCTCCCTCTTTCCCCACTTTGCACTCTTTCCATGGCTCATCTGTCCATCTGCAACCACATCCTCCTCAATATCGATTGAAGGTTCTGTCGTTGAGAATACAGTGATCCATAAACCTGCAAAGGAGACAGGGTCTCAGATTCAGCCTGGAGGGTGGGCAGGTATCCTTAAAAATAGCTCCCATGGCTGCCTCAGGGCAGACTGGGCAGGGGTAGTAATAAAGTAGGGTGGTTGAAGAGTTGGGCAGGTGGCAGTGAAGGGAGCAGACACATCCCCAGCCTCCCACAGGAATGCCATAGACATTTGTGCCTGCTCAGAAGTCATATACACAGGGTGAAACACAAAGGTGGAGGCAAATATTTAACTCCATTGAGCGCTACCACTGCCCAGATTCTAGAGCCAAATCTCCTTACTAATACCCAAATTTCTCCTTCTGTTCCCTTACTCTGAGTGGAGATCAAACAATGTCTAAGGATTTCAGGGAGAGGAGAGTACTTCCCTTGGTCTCCCTACTCTAACCTCTCCCGTTCTACCTGGTCATTGGACTTTTAATGAGACAGTGGCGTGGGCTTTGGATCCATGGCATGGTTTCCTCTGGACGTACTCCTGGATTGTGGGACCACCAGAAGCTGAAGTTCTGAGCATCGGTCAGAGGGACTCTGAAGACCTGATTGGGGACTGAATAGGTTGGGGAAAGGGCAGGTTATTGGAATTCCTTCAGGTTCACTGCTCACAGCCCAGCCTACCAAATGGGCCCAACCAGGTACTGAGAAGTCCTAGGAATGTGGTCACCACACCCTGCTTCACTTCCGGATTCCAGTATCTCACACCCTTCATAATCCGATGAATTAGCCTTGATTCTTCCTATTGCTAGTAAGCCCATCTCCAGGAGAGCTTTCCCAAGTGCTAAGATGGTAGAAAAACATGTGGTCAACTCACATAGAAAATGTACAAGATATCCGGGGGGGGGGGGGTGGGGGGGGGTGCACATCTGTGATCCCAGCACTTGGGAGGCTGAGACAGAAGGATGGCCAGGAGTTCTAGGCCAGCCTGAGCTACATAGTTCAAATTCAGCCTGACATACAAAGTAAGACCCTGTCTCAAAAAACTAACTACTGCTGGGGATTTAGCTCAGTGGTTTCGCCGCCTGCTGTGCAAGCGCAAGGACCCAAGTTCGATCCCCGGTACCAAAAACAAAAAAACAAAAACAAACAAAAAAACCCCACAAAAAACCCCCACAAAAATATAAAATAAAATGAATGAGGAAGCAGGATAATAAGGATAAGTGACTTACTAAAGGTGAGATGTCTGAAAAGAGGCAGAACCTGGATCTTGTGCTTCCATATCTGATTCAGTTTATATTTTATGGTGCTCATTTATCATTCAAGCCTACTTTCTCCAACTTCTTCTCTGTCTCTCTTCCTAGCCCCCTCCCCCCACATGTGGTCCATGCTGTCCCAGCCATTCATCAGAAGCACAAATACATCTTTTTACTTACATGTCTTTAATAACACCTTCTGTACAGCTTTATGGTACTTCATGTGGCTATTCTGGTGCACAGAATAATTCCCATGTTCTGAGGTAATGGGGGGAAGCCTCGTGGGCACTGGTTCCTTCTGGTCTGAAATGAGAACAGTTACTCTGAGTACTTGGCAGATGGGGGTATTTGATTTTCTGATTCTCTCATCTCCACACCAACTAGCTACACCTCTCCTAAGCACATCTGATTTTCAGGAATCAAATCACCATGGCTGTGACAGAGGAGGGAGGGAACTGAGGTGCTTGGCCCCAATGTTTTCAGACTGAAGAATTTTTCTTTCTTTTTCTTTTTCTTTTTTTTTTTGTGGTACCGGGGATTGAACTCAGGACCTTGTGCTTGCGAGGCAGGCGGCAGAACCACTGAGCTAAATCCCCGGCCGTGGCTGAAGAATTTTTAGAATGTGTCCACCTCAATGCCTCCCAGAAGTCTTCTAGATTAAGGTTTGATTCCAGATGCTTGGGTCATAGTGGTGATAATATTCAACACACTTTACTTGCAGTTGTCTTAAGAGTTGATGTTGCTACATGGAGAGTAATTCCACCCTGACTAGAAATTCATACAAGGTCAACCTGAGAAAAAAAATTATGGTATATATTTTTTAAATGATTCCTGTCTAGGAGGTGATATCAAACATTGGCCATTAATCCTTCCCTGAAGTTGGCTGGAGCATTAAGATGTGCTGAAATTGGCTGAAGTGTGTTTGGAAGGATACCTTGCACTGTCTTTCCTGATATCAGATTGTCAATGCTTTGGGAAGAAGTGGACAGAAGCATGAGCCTAGGGAACCAGACCAATCCCTAGGGCATGTTTTCCATTTGGGGACATTTACTTTGCTTCTGTATCCAAAAATAATCTTCTCAGTGGTATGCTTATTCAGAATTTTGAACACAGGAGTAGAGGCATGACACAGCAGCAGGACTTAATGTAGACTACTAATATAAAGTGGAATACATGGATTTTCTAGAGATAATAACAATAAAAATAGCAAATACTTAATGAATGTGCTTGGCACAACTGTATTATTACTTTACAGACGGGAGCTAGAGGCACAGAGAAGTTTAGTCATTTACCCAATATCACATAACAAGCATGTGGCAGAGACATGAATTTAAATTAACCCAAGAAGCTTGGCTCTAGAGCCCACGCTTTTACCCATCATAGTAAACTACCTCCTAAAATAACCTCATCAGGGCTTCCAGGAAAGACCAAGCACTTGAACTAATAGAACCAGCCCTAGGATGGGTTCCCCTGTGCACAGCTGCCTGGGAGTCCTGTCACGGATGTCTGATCACCTGGAGCAGCCTAGAGTGGAGTAGGGGACACGACACCACTGATTAATACAGATGTGGAACACTGCCTCCCTAAGCTCTGCTAAATGTGGGAGCAGGGAGGGCTGGAACTTGTGGGTCACCCTCCGAGTGGATTAAACCAGTCCCAGAGGGAAGATTAGTTGGGGAAAGGCTGGGCCTCTTGGGAAAAAGTGGCTAGTCTGCTGCCTACAGTCATAGTCACCTCCTTGGAGCCCATTCCCTAGGCTTTGGGAGAATGGCTATGAATAGCATGAATATTTTCCACTCTAGTTTCACAGAGATAGAGCATGGTGGTCTGTAGCAGTTACAAGACAGTACAGGTTGTTTCCAAGATACAATTCTGTAGCTTCAGTACTGCAGTAAGTCTAGCCATTTGGAAAGGCCGAGGGGCTCAAGCTCTGGCCAGTTCTTATCTGTGCTGAATGGTGTCATTCACGCTCCTGTTTGAAAAGCCAGAACTTCAGTGCCCTCTGCTGGAGTCTACAAGTGGCATCTCCGGCCATCTAACAAGTGAGTCACCAACTAGGCAGCACCGAGGGGCTAGGAGAACTAGGAGAATGAGAAGACATCCCAGCCAAGTTTGGGAAACCATCTTTTGCTTCCTCTGACGGGATCAAAATCAGAATTACAATCAGGACCAGAAAATGAGAACATAGGAGATAGATGTTCAGCTTTTACCAAAGTCTCCAGGTTTAGCCTTTCTTTGAAAAAAAATTCATTTAGAACTGGAAGTGAGAGCAGCTCTGAGGACTTGTAGCTCTGGAAAGAATGATAAGGGTAACTAGCAGTGAAGGAAACTGGATCAAAGCCCTTTGGATGTACAAGGCATGGATGTCGGGGTGTGTATGGCTACAGAGCAGTCACTGGAGTGTATCTGGCAGGAAGGGGTCACCTGTCTCAAGAACCAGCAAAAACAAAACAAAAAAACACCCCCCCAAAACAGCATAATCTCTCCTCCCCACAACCCATCACCATCCATTAACCTGAGACACTCCTATCAGCGAGCAATGTCCCGAATACCCGAGCACCCGGACTTGTGTTAGGTACGGTAAGATCCAGCCTGACCTAGAGTCTTCAGATAACAAGGTAAGGGAGTTGTCCCAGCAAAGGACCAGATAAGAGGAAATTAGTCTAAAATTAAAATCAAGAGCCTGGGCTTTAGCTCAGTGTTTTGGCACCTGCCTTGCAAGCTCAAGTTCGATCTCTGGTACAAAAAAAAAAAAAAAATTAAAATCATGACACTCCTGGACCAGGAGGAGTGTGTGGGTGTGAAGCCTACAGTGGAGAGGAGAGCAGAGCTCAAAGCAGGCAGTAGTCAGATTTAGCAAAGGAAGAGGCAGAGATATAAGAATGTGCTCCTCTGGACAGGTCAGAAGGGAAGGCTAGGACTCAAGAGACCAGGCCATAAGGTCCTGAACAAACACTGGAAGCTGGGCTGACCCTGCAGAGCAGCTCATATTAGGGCTAGGAAAGGTGAGTCTGGGACGGACAGCAATCTGCTAACCAATGGATGTAATCTAGTTATTGGTTGGGGGAGTGCCTGCGAGGGGAGCTGTAGCTGTCTCTCAGGACCTAGAGTGAGCTAGCTAGCATTTTCTGCTCCAG